ACGGTTTCATTTAAATTTGGGTGGAAAAAAAAATTCCTGAGGTAATTTGGGAGATGGTGAGTATAAGGATCTATCGGGCTTTAGTTTTTGGTTTATATATACAACTTTCCTCTGTGAGGTGCAATGCAGATGAAAAAACCGTGATGTTGCTATCAAGCTGCTGAAAACAGTGTGCCCACCCAGATGGGCCCTGATTTGAAAGACAGGGCACATCCGGCTTGGATCCCCTGTAGACAGGCCTGGCAGTTCTCACACGTGGCTTCATTCAAATACAGAAGGTGAGGAAGTTGATTAATAACTCATGTGACTAATTCCAGGCTAGCTCTACTCCAAGGTTATGCCTCACCTGATGATTGCATACCCTCAGGAGACTCCCCTTTTCTTCTTAAGGATCTAACAGTGCAGTTTTCTGGAGGCCAGGTAACAAAGCAGGATGAAACAGTAGGCTCCAGTCAGTCACAGATCGTGCATTCCAAAAGTTGGAGCAAGATTCTCAAAGTTGGATTGGCTCTTCTGCACTTCCAAAATCTTTTAAATCCTATCAGTGTAATCACCTGATGCTGAAACCCCTGAATACATCCAGAAATTCTACTTTTGTGCAAAGAGAAAAATTTTTAAATGGAGTCAATTTTTAGACAAAACCAGGACAGGATGAGAGAGAGGATCCTAGGGCCTGAGGTCAATAGGGTACTGTGGCTGTCTTATCATTAACACCCTAAACATTTCTATATCTTATATATTCTCATGCATCTTTATCTAACCAGAGACCAAGTTCTCCACACAGAAAATGATGGGGTTTTTTCCAGGGCAAAGTTCCTGCTACTTCCTCTTTATTGCAATTCCCTCCTCCATAGGTGTCCAGGACCCTAACTTCTGCCCTCAGGCCCACCTGGCAATGTCCTTCAGTAACTTCATGTTTCTTTTTAGAAGGAGGCTGGACAGAAATACATATATATCTTCCCTGCTGGTTTTGGTATTTGGGAATATGGCTCTATGAGAGTTTTAGAAAGTTGAACAGATTCACTCAAATTAATCAGTTAATAGCTGCTTAGACTACTACGCTTATTCTTGGGACATCTGAGCTTTAGTATTCTTTAAAACTAAAAGAAAGACTTTCTAATGGTGATATTTTCAGTGTTAGAAACAAATAAGAAGGGTATTATATCTCAGTAAAGGAGCCTGACTGACATTTATATAGGTAATTTGGTCAGGCTGATCTTAAAGGAAATGGAATAATGAAATCAAGAATATCAGAGCAGAAAGGAGGTATACCTGTGCAAGGATGTTATTTTTGAGTAGAGAAAACAGACCCAGAGAAACAAAATGACTTGCCAAACTGCACCAGAGACATTCCGTGACCTCCATCATTATTTCTGCCCTTGATTCTCTCTTGATATGTAACTACTTGAATCCAGACTACATGTTCTAGCCTCCCTTGCAGCTAGGTATGGTCATATGTAGTTTTGTTCTATGGTAGCAATGGGATATGAATAGGAGGTTGTGTTTGACTATGTGGAAGAGTCCTTTTTTTTTCACCTTCCTGCTGACTGAAATACTGACTTGATGGGTGGAGACGAGTAGCCACCTTGGACCATGACATGGAAGTCATGTGTTTTCTATTGTGTTCAAGGAAGGCAATGCAATAAAGTAGAAGGAACCTGGGTCTCTGAAACCTGTATTTCTAGGCTGACTGCTTTCTAGACTTCTTTATGTATAAGAGAAATAGATAACTGTATTTGTTTAAGTCACTATTATTTTGAACTTTGGTGTTACTCTCAACCATACCTAATCTAAACTGTATCAGTATCAGCTGTATCAGTAGTCTGGAAAAGTCTTAATTGATTCACATGGCTTGATGGAGAAAGGCATAAAGAGTGATGGACAAGACCTGATTTTAAGTCTAAGATAGAATATGCTTTATTTTATTTTATTTTTTATATGAAATTTATTGTCAAATTGGTTTCCATACAACACCCAGTGCTCATCCCAAAAGGTGCCCTCCTCAGT